AAAAAAAAAAAAACAAGCCTCCGCAAAGCCCGCCCCGCTGCATGACTCACAATGCCAAACGCAGCCTTTCTGAACCCGAGCTCCACATCAATAAACGACAGACCGTGGCTGCGCCACCACGCGTAGCGTGGTCTAACAGTTCATTCCATTCACGAGACCCATTATTACGATTCGAACTGAGGGGGTCGCCACAGCACTCTCGAAGTGTGAAAAAGACAAAAATGTGGCGGGCGCATCTGGTCATGTTGTAGCGACAAGTTCGTTCTTATTGTTCACATTTCGAGAGTGGTGTGGCGATGGCCTTAGGTCTGAATTTTCAATCAACAGTCTATGGGTGTACCAACAAAGATCAGCTCGTTCGAATTTTTATCACTTCGGCACCACTACTCCTAATTGTAGGCATACGGGGAACCCCGTGGCAGGTGGGTGATAACGAGGGAAAGGTCCCACGTGCACGGATTAAGAGATTCTGGCGGTCGATCTCTGCTATCTACGGTCAATATCGCTTAATTTGTGTAAGTGGGACCTAGCCCCGGCTAGGGAACAGCCGGTAGCATCAGGGACCATGCCAACAGGAGGGGACCTGAGGCCCTTTGTTTTTCCTTTTTCAGCCAAGGATTTAGAGAGAGAGAGAGAGAGAGGGGGCTGCGTAAATCACAGCCACAAATTTGCAGAGGCCCCTACAGTAGCGAATGCTGGCCTAGACTCGAGAGTCGAGACGGACGAAGCGCCACGGTGACACTCCACGTGAAGCGGACACGTGGACACGCCACGTGGAGGCGCCCACGTGGAGGCGCCACGTGGACGAAAAACACAGGGTGAGTTTAGGTGTCGTTCTAGTTCGCGCTGCTTCCGGCTCGTTCACTGCATCTGCCGTCCGCTTCTTTTTTTTTTTTTTTTTTGGTTATACTTCTCCTTTGCTCGTTTGATCTTAAGAACGAACCAATCCTGATGAAGCAGCGAATCAGAACGACGGATCGGACGCTTGAGATTAAAAGAAAAAAGAAAAAAAAAAGCATTGATTGATTGGGCTCTTTTTTTTTTTTTTTTTGACAAACGAGGTTGACAGGGCTATCGACACTGTAGTGAATGTATCTGGTCGTAATTACGGTCGCTATCATTCACTGGTCGTAAATGCACCTTGTCGTAATCAATGCATCTGGTCGTATCACGATCTCGGTTCATGCAGTTTCACTAGGAAGTTCTACCGCCCTTTTTGTTTTCCAACCAATTTTTTTTTTCTTTTCTTGAAGCGACTTTGAAATTTCCATGCGTAGAAAACTACAAAAAAATTAAAAAAAATTCCAGGCGTTGTCGACAGGGCTGTCGTCGTTTTTTTTTTCTTTTTCCCCTTTCTTTTCAGATTTTTTTTCTGATCACAACGGTGCTGTTTTTTTTTTTTTTTGTTTTTTTTTGTTTTTTTTTTGGTGACACGTCTGCTTCCGTTTGATTAAATTCATTGGCCATGTCAAGAACAAGCAAATGGGAAATTATAAATGATGTCCTCCGTCGTCTGAGCCCCTGTCGATTATGATTCTGATTTATTTATTTTTATTTATCGATGAATTAACTACTATTAAATAATTGTTCACAGTTTCAAGTTTAAAACGCAGTCGAATTAAAATACAAATCAGCGGCTCGGCGCGCAAGCACCTCCTTCCTAACCTCTGATAGCAGTGATAGGTACGCTGTAAAAAAAAAAAAAAAAAAACCAAAAAAAAA